GTTTTATTGCAATTTTTGTCAAAAATAATATTTATTTTTTAACATTAGGGTGTTTCCTTTGCTCGGAATTTTTTCATAATATTTTTATTAACGATTTTACAATTTTCCTCCCCATTTTCATATTAAAATTTGCTTAAAAATATTTTGTTTTCTTTAAAGTTCAACATTATAACATTAGGGTGTTCCCTTTGTCCCCAATTTTTTCATAAAATCTTTATCAATGTTTTTAAAATTTGCTTGTACATTTTCATATAAAAATTGCTTAAAAATATTTTTTTTCTTAAAAATTCAAAACTTTTCTGCGAAGTAATTTAATAATTTTGTAAAAAAATTATATTAAAAAAATTTAAAATACTATTTTGCATGCAAAGTTTATTAAAATAATAGAAACTCAGGTCTTGTATATAAAAAATGTTTTGAAAATATTTTTGAAAATTTTATACAAAATTTGTACTTTTAATTTATCATTGAATTCGTCTATACTTAATTTACCATTAACACTAAAACTAAAATTTATGCACCTATGCTTACCCACACATTTCTTACTAATAATGCTTCTTGACCAGTAGCAATAACCTAACTTCTTCTCCTCGCATATTCAAATATCGTAATCATATTTTGTATGTTTTTGTTTTGAGATAGAGTGTACTCTTCATTATYGCCAATTCTTGTTTTTTGATTCACAGACTGAATTTTGTTTTTCTTTCTCATTCATCCAGAGTAAGCAGCAGATTCCTGAATACAAAACGCTATTCACCCAATCCCGTTGACCATCGCAAAAATGAATTGAGAATCGTTTAAACCACATGGCTGCCACAATTCACCCATAGAAACTTCACATTAGGATGCTGTCCGCCAATACAAAAATGTTTGTGTATATTTGTGCAACTGTAATTGTGCATACACACACCCATACGAATGCCCTTACCTATCCCGTTAACATCATAGAGGCTAAATGCAAACTGATAAACCTCAAAAATTAAAGAAGTAAATGAAAATGAGAAAGTCGCCAGCTAAAACCATTCGAAAACGTGTATAATTACATACATACATATTATTATATATATACTATGCTACACGTATAGTTACCTAATGTGTACATACATATGTATATACCTACATACTAGTATGATTACAATTGTATTGCATTGTATTGTTAAATCATTGTTTAGTCTAATTTATAATTACACAGCTTTACTACTTTGTAATGCCGACTTAATTTAATTTAATTTAATAATGAAATAGAAAAATAACAACAATAAAATCTTTGTCATGTGAATATCAGTGATGAGACCACAATTTTAGTTGACGGTACAAAAAGAAATTCAAATGACTAAAAATAAAGAAAGATTGTTTCATTTGGAAATTGTTAGCTTTACTTAATGATTAGAAGACAAATTGTTTTTTTGTTTATGATATTTTTCAATGATTATAACCGTAAGGAGAACGCATTCTTCAGGATCGGCAGGGTATTCCGTACACGACCCAATCCTTCATTGTACAATTAGGTTAGACTAGGTTATATCATGCCGAACGTAGTCTTATCAGTCCTTAGTAATGCCAGAAGAGTATTCAACGTTTTTTGAAAACTTTAAGAGCAACTTTTGTCTAATTTTGATACCTCATCTGGTCCCTCGACTTTGAACCTCTTAGATATAAACGATGAGTTATAGATAATGCCGGACGGAAGCTAGATCTCTCAAAGCGGCTTGATGTTTAATTTTGATATTTTATGAGGTCCCTTGACATCGAAGGTTCTAGATATTTAAGACGAGTTCTACATAATGTTCGACGGAAGCTTAGGAGGATTCCAGATTCTCTCTCAATCCTACTTCCCTGCACTCTGTGCACAGATCGTGATTTCTTACGCATATCCGACTCGCATGTCATGCCAGTAAGTTGTAACTTGTCATTAGGCCAGCAACCGTCCCGGACTCCATTCGAGGCCGTGTGAGTAAAAGGACTGCGTGTTTTCCTTCGGGCTCTGGCACACGAGCTTGGCGATCCTGAAWGTTCTTTAGGCACTCCATCTCGTCCTAATCCGTCTGTTAACCCTTTCATAGTATATCRTTTTTAATGACTTCCTGTACTGGTTCSATAGAMAGACGGATGGCAGTTTTGGCAACCTTATCAGCGATTTTGTTTCCCGGAATTTCTTTGTGGAACCCAGCATATATGCAGCCGCTTTCCGGTAGTAACTACATCTACTATCGCCCTGCTTTCAAGGCTACTCTCTGACGTAWTGCGATGTGAGATTATTCCTTAATTGCCGCCTGACTATCGACGTATGTATACTATATTGATCTCTTTTTGTTGTTTCCTGTGTTGTTAGCTATTTCAGCGGCTGCATATGTTTTTGCCTGGAAGATACTGCAATTTTGAGGAAGATTGAAGGGCTGTCTCCAGCTCCGAGCAATAGATTCCAGATCCCATTTCATTTCAAATGTTATAAGTTCCGCTGGCGCGTCGCATGCTCCTTTGCAACCAATGTCACGTTAACATCTCTAAAATACACCCACATGACATATTAATGTCATATAACGTGAGTGTAATCACACTTTGACGTAGAAATGTAAAATGCGTCAAAGTTTTCCATCTTGCAACTTGCTAGCCAACATTTCCAAAGAAAATTTACAGAGGATTAAAATATGCGCCTTTCGCTTGGGTATTCACCGATTCATTTCGTTGGTTATTATTAAAGTTACAACAATAACAAACGCAATATTATGAAATACATTGGTCTGGCGCAAGTTAACAGCATAAATTAACGGCATGTTGGCGGAGAAACTGTGGGTATAACTAAACGTTTGCCACCCACCCGGCCAGCCGCCTCTCGCTTAAATCATCGGTTAATCACCCGGTGGCGCTAGCGGTGATTTCAGTGAAAAGTTTCTATGAGTTTCATATGGTTGAATTGATGTTGTCGTTAGATCTGAATGAGTAGATGAGTTGGATTTGAATGAGTAGGCGAGCAAAGATTTTCACAGAACTTTCGCACGGAATAGCGAACAGTTTCGTAATATCAAATTTTTCGTTAAAAGCACATGACTAGAGCGCATTGGTACTTTTTAGTGGATGCGTCACAAATTAAGTGCCATGCAATCTAGTTTAATTACGGTATCTTGTGATTTCTATATTACGAAGCTTCTTTCGGTAATATCCAAAACCCCAACACATCCAGATTGAMATTGCGGTTTTTAATTTACGTGAAATCATGCGATATTAATCAAATCAAAACATCAAGTTGACGGTTATTTTTATTTATTTGTTGTTATTACTTGCTAGTTTTTGGCAAGCCTACGTCCAAAAATCCTAGGAGTGCATTCACTTATTCCATAAATGCATTTTGCACATGTGGGCGAGTGTGTATGTGTGTGCCGCATGTAAATCCCCTGAAAACTTTTCTTTATTAGCATAACAATGCAAATTTTACGACGTTTTTCTTCTTCTTCTTCTTTATTCTTGCAAGCGAAAAGGTACTCTCTGTGACTCTCCATTCATATGTACTGATGTAACTATATGCGATAACAACAATTGCAAATGAGTAAATGGAGAGACAATTTTGTGTCAAAATACATACATATATTCTCTCAGTATTGGACATCTTCAAGCCAAACAAAGTTTTCTGCTAACGCTCTAAGTCAAGAGCTCCCGTGAGAACTTTTTACATGCAAGTTAAAATAAAACAATCTTAGTACTTTAATCAAAATTTACTTATATACAATATGAAACTCATATATACATACATATGTGAACGTTAAGAACCGGTTGTTGTTTTTATTTTTTGTATTTTAACTCACAAAATATACACCCGGATACAGATTTTGTCGCAATTGTTAGGATTCTGGGTCATAGTGCKTGAAAACCAAGTCGGCGAAGACGATTACATTACCGTGCGCCAGAAACATGTTTATGTTTTCCATTCTTGAGTCTTCGTTTTTTAACGCACGGTAATGTAATCGTCTCCGCCGACTTGGTTTTCCCGCACTATGACATCGCTAGCTCCCAGCAGTATGTTGAACTTTATCAATACACGGGGGCTAGATTAGTCTTTGCGATTTAGGAAAGGGTACAATCTTTAGTCTAGTCGCGGTGCATTCCTTGTTATTTTTCCAATGATAAACATAAAGAACATAACAGTTATTCCCATTCCTATCTCCGAAATATTTCGTAGATTTTATTTACAATTACTATGAGAAGTTGACAACGTTTTTCGCTATGATGTGATGTATCGCTCCTTACTCCTAGAACTCTTGTCGTTAACATAGACGTTTAGACCTTTTAAAAACGGTATGCTGGGGTTAACTAGGAGGAAAAAAGGAGTTATTAACTATAACCGCCGAGGTTTGAGGGCTTATATTTTTTGAAAACTAATTGTGGATCCTGAATGTGGGAGTTTCATTCAGTGGTTTTGAGTTTACAAAACTACTCGAAACGCGTTCGGGTTTAAGCTCGTTCATTTCTTATTACTTTTAGCCTTAAGCCTTATGCAAAGCCTTTCATTGCTATAGAGTTTCGGTTAGTCGGACTGGTTGGAATCTTACATACTTATTGTAGGATTCCAACAAGTCTCTCATTATGGACGAATATGTATTCAAAATCCGTCAAGTTTTGAAATCGTTCTTAAAGAATTCGTCTTTTTTATTTATTTCCCGCCCAAAAGTATACCTAATTAATTTAAGTCTGATATAAATTGTGGTATAATCTTCGAGTGTGAATAAAAATATATGTATATCGTTTTTTTTTGTTTTAATTTAAAAAGTGTTTCTTCCTCATTATTCTAAAATTAATTAATTAAATGGTTTTAGTTCTTTTTGGAGGCACGCACAAGTTTCCCAACACTGTCGGCAGCGCACTGCAACCTGCTATCAGCAGCTGCARCGCCGCCGATCCAACTAATTGAGAGTGAGTGCTTAGAAGAGCGCCGATGTGCGCTGCCGCATTCAACTCACTATAAAAGTGCGACTTGAGACGCTGCCAATCTCAAACGCAAAGCAGGCTCGATCATTTCTCAACACAACAGATTCCAAAGTCAGAGCTAGAGCAGTTTACAAGCTTCAATTAGCACTAACTAAGCTTAGTTCTTATTGGAACGTCTAGTGAACGCGTCGAACTTCCGCGTGCCTGCAATGAGGGCTTGAGAACATAACAAATTTGAAAAGTTGTGTCGGAACTAAAGTTAWACTTGTGATATACCGACTTGCACAGGAGTGAATATGCCATAAATGCTAATAAAATTAAGTAATTGCAGACAATAAGAGCAGTGGCGCGTTTAAAWATCTCCTTTAAGTGTGAACTCACGTTTTATTAACAAGAATCGAGATATATGCACATATACATACATACATACAGACACTCGTATGCGCTTGTCTCATAAATTTCGAGGAAAACGAATAAGTGAAATACAACAAAGAAAAATGCATTACAGCAACATTTTTGGGCTGCTTTTAGTCGCCACTTTGCTGCAGGCGGCGAGCGGACGTAAGTTTTCATACAAATGCTGTAAACAAACATGCATACGTACGTGATTTTGTTGTGATCARTGTAAGGCAAATCACTCTTGAACATAATCACTGACAAACTGCATTTAATAAAAACAAAAACAAAAAACAAAAATAAATAAATAATAAATGATTTGCATTCAAGAAACCTGTCAATGTTGTAGCTAACGAATTTCTCTTCTACTTTCACGCTCAATACAACGCTCCTACACACACACACACACACACGCAAACCGGCACTTGACGAACTCGTCGCTGATAATATCTGCGCAAACAATAAACAAAACAAACACTCACATACACATATGCATAACAACAGAATTTTATTATTCCTGTTTGACACCTTATAACACATACGGACGCTGTTTGCCGATCAAAAGATGTGGCTTCTTCCAGAAACTCTTCGCGCAGTACGGGCTCTCATTGCCACAAAACTATGCAGCGGAATTACTAAGGGCACGTTGTCAGGGTGGACCGGAGGTACGTATAAATACCCATTGTTGTTCYACGTTAATGATCGAGGGTCTTTAGCGGTTAACTTGTTAAGCAATAACTCATTGCTTCTTTTAAAATCGCGCAATAGTGAGTTTTTGTTATGAATTGTTTTTTATTGGGTTATGTAATAATAACAGTAATACTAGGAACATTACGTTGCGAGTAGAGAATGACATAATCTAATATTAAATAAAACTAAACGTGAGGAGAAGAAATAMCTGAAAGCTTAACATATTCGTCGTCTATTGAGCTATCACATACTTCGATAAAAGTGYTTCAATGTAGCCAAAATTGTTGTCATATAAAAGCAGAACAAAGAAATACTGGATAATATTTTATTAATACACAGTATAGCCTTGCTGGAAGGCTAAACAAAAGTGAATTGTATTAAACATTTCTCCAATGGCAACTTCTGTTTAGCATTAAGTTACCAAACGGCTTACGTGTCCAGCGAGACCAATAACTGATAATTTAAGCAAATCTTTCAAATTATTGCAAGCTTTGTGCAATTTCCTTGAATTTCTGTGCTGATAAAAAAATTCCGTTGAATTTCATATATTCTCATTTTGAAGTAAGCTTGTTGATACAAGCAATAAAGTCGAGAATTGAAGTAATAATAGCTGCTTAACTACAATAAAAAAAAAAATATATTTTTTTTGAAACTGATCTAGATTTGTAACACTGAAGATTTTTGTTACAGGCCTGTTGTGAGGTTTAAAGTAGAATTTGATGCATTAAACAGTTTCACGAACGAAACTATAAAATTAGTCCTCTCTATTATGCATCGCGTTGTTCACTAAGTTCGTTTGATGACAATAGCTGATCCTATTGAATTTTTTCACGACCAACTACCGCTTGTTTGTAAAAAAATTATAAACATTTTTGAAGTAATTCGAAGTTCGAAACATATTTATCAAAAGGTCAAAAAAAAAAAATCGGTTTGCAAAATTTCGTTCCGGCAACTTCGATCTTGAGGAAGGACCACGTTTTGGAAATATCCTTAAAACCGATGTGGATAAAGTCATTGGYGGATGTAAACACTCGAATAACAGATCGAGAGATTGCCGAAAGATTAAAGTGGTTTAACAGTASCTGAACGTCAATGATTAATTTCGACGCTTGACCTGTGGGTTCCTTCTTACAGCACGAAATTTGGTTGGTCGCCTTAACGACTGTGATTTGCATATCAAACGTCAAAGAAGTGACTCATTTTTGAAACGCATTGTTACTGGTGACGAAAAGTGTGTTGTTTATATGTTTGTAAACGCAAGGTATTATGGTCTATAGGGTTTGTCCGGAAAGTAATGGGACTGAAATAGGCTCTTTTTGCGTCGATGCAGCGCTACCAGCGGAATTTCCAAGCATTGAAGGCCTTACGGAAGGCATTCTCCGGAATAGAATTCAGAGCCGAGGTGTATGCTGCTTAGATCTCATCTGTTGTCTCAAAATGCTTGCCTTTCAATTGTGTTTTCAGGCAAGAAAAYACAAACAAAGTTTGGAGCCACATCTAGGCTGTAGGGCGGCTTCGGAAGCGTTGGGTTTCCGGCCTTAATTAGGTAGCTGTTCACAAGAAAGGCGGTGTGAGCCGGGGCGTTGTCATGGTGCAACTTCCAATCGGCTGCGATGTCTTATCGGACCCGATTGAGCTTTCATTTGAGTCTCTTGAGGACTTCTTCGTAAAATTTGGCGTTGTTGGTTTGTCCAGGAGGAAAAAAGTTTTTTTTGACGATGCCTTTAATGTTAAAAAAGGCAATGAGCATCGTTTTCACTTTGAATTTTCTCATTCATCAGCGATCTCTTCCTGGTCCTCAAAAAAGGCCTGTTGCCACCGAAACACACTACTTTCTGTTAAAGCAGCATATTTGTAAGCCTGCTTGGAGACAATTGACCAGCCGCTCATTCGTTAGCTAGTAACGCCCTCTACCGAATCCAGTCRATGCGCGCACTCTCCGAAGTACAGTCGCGGCTGAAGAAAATCAGTCCTATTTCTTTTCCGACAAACCCTGTTTAAAGGAGTTCAAACMACTTGTAAGAGCGATAGTCACCAAAAAAGGTTATTTTGTCTGTTTGGTGGGATTTCAAAGGGATCGTTTCTTTTGCGCTTTTGATCGACAATACCACGATTAATACTGAAGTGTATTGTGATCGGTTGGACAAATTGAGAGTTGCATTCAAACAGAAGTGGCCAGAATTGATTAATAGAAAAGGTGTAGTATGCGAGGCCTTGAAGACTCGTCAAACGCTGTTAGAACTTGAATAGGTGCATATTTTGCAGACTTGGCCACTACCTTGGGCCATTACTCACCTCAAAACAGGCCATCAAAACCCACTTGGTCCAGGTTTTTTGTTTGCAAGGATCAAAATATTTATGAGCGTTTAATCAATCTCTTGTCCGAAAGTTCTCAAAAGGCATTGGATCAAAACGGGGCATATCTAAATTTATAGAATGTTTTTGAAATAATTCAAAAAAAAAAAAACAAAAAATTTATTTAGTGAAAAAGCGAATATAACTGCGCGAGAACAGCTGTCAGTCGACAACAGAATACTTAACTGCACTTAACGAGAGAATAGCGGCTACCAGTCGCAGAGAATTGTGTATATTACTGAATACTATCAGCCCTTATTATACTTGTAGTAGGAAGAACAGCACAAGTCAAGAAACTGCCAAAGGTACGTGTCTACATTGTTTTGCGAATTTAGAGCTTGAGTTTGATTGACTTAATTTTGTATTTTTTTACGAACGTTTCTAACTGAAAAATCGTATAAAAACCATAATGCACAAAGATATTTTAAAATCTTCGGTGATTTTTTCGTAACACGTTTGCTACGTATGTA